TGAATAAGTAACTCTTGAATAAGTAACCCCTGAAACAACTCATATATGTAACCCTTGAATAAGTAACTCATACAAGGAACCCTTAAATAAGTAACTCATACAAGTAACTCTTGAATAAATAACTCATACAATTAACCCTTGAATAAGTAACTCTTGAATTAACTCGTACAAGTAACCCCTGAATAAGTAATTCATACAAGTAACCCCTGAAAAAAAAATACAAGTAACCCTTGAATAAATAATCCATACTGACAAGTAACCTCTGAAAAAAAAAAAAAAAAAAAAAAAAAAAAAAAAAAAAAGTGACCCCTGAAAAATACAAGTAACCCCGGAATAAGTAATCCATACAAGTAACCCCTGAAAAAAAAATACAAGTAACCCCGGAATAAGTAATCTTTACAAGTAACCCCTAAAAAAATACAAGTAACCCCTGAAAAATACAAGTAACCCTTGAATAAATAATCCATACTTACAAGTAACCTCTGAAAAAAAAATACAAGTAACCCCTGAAAAAAATAATACAAGTAACCTCTGAAAAATACAAGTAACCCCTGAAAAATACAAGTAACCCTGACAAAACAAGTAACCCCGTTATGCACGTCTGGGTCTATTATTTTCGTTGACTTGGTAGCAGGCCACACGGTGTGGCCTGCTGCACCAAAAAAGCTCTGAAATTCTACATAGTAACATAAGAACATAATAACCCCTTTTCAGGGCTCTTTACAAATTTAGGTCGTGATTTGTGAATGCCAAATAATTTATTTGGTTAAAATGTTAGGGTTGGTATTTTATGATTTGAAATCAAATTTCGGGTCTTTTTTTATTTACCGAAAACAACTGAATTGAATTGAAATAAATTATTTATGAGAGAAGGAAATTAGGGACTGAACGAAATTGGACTAATTGGAGTTGAACTGAATCGAAATTAAGCTTAACAAAACAGACCCTTCCTCAAAATCATTGTTTGTTGCGATACTTTTTACTCCAACAAATATACTCAAATACAGTACTCTATATTAATTATGTTAGTTAATTAAATTTGGGAAATTCTCACCGGTAACACCCAACTTTTGTTTTTTCTCAACGGTAGAATGCAAAATTTTTTATTATCATTGGTAATCACCAATTAGTAATACTAATTTACTGGTAACATTGATGAAACATTTACCTAATTATTGACTAACCATGGATTAATAATAACACAATTACAAACCTACCCTTCTAAAAAATCACTTCCCTCCAAAGTTATATGCTACTTTCCCTCCTTAATCAATTACCCCTTTATATATACCTTAAACAACCCAATTCTATTAGTACTCCTTGTTCTTCTTCTTCTCATTTTCTCTTAATACTACCATACTACCATGGCTAAACAAAATACTCCAGCGAAAGGTTCTTGAGACAGGAGGTCAGCTATAGGGAATGAGTCATCGTGATCTGCGATAATACTCAATTGTTTTCTAGTTATATCAACAACAAAATCTGCAAGCTCACTTGCAATTAGTATACTAGATGAAGCCCTGAAGTTATTTGATTAGACATAAGTGGTTAAGGGAAATAAATAGGGGCAATTGAGTCATTTCGTAGCTAATTTTCCACTTAGCATAGTAACCATGGTTAAGGACTTAGGTAAAAGTTTCATTAATGTTACCAGTAAATTAGTAATACTAATTGGTGATTACCAATGATAATCCAAAATATTATATTCTACCATTGAGAAAAAACGGAAGTTGGATGTTACCGGTGAGAATTTCCCATTAAATTTTATTTTTATGGGTGGGGATGTTGACTCTTTGTATACACAACATTTGAAAATAAAATCTATGATAAATAGTGAAGATTGGAACTTTTGGTGGCCTGGATCATTGTTATTGTGAGGCTAATTGAGCTTTCTAACTTACTAACGTTGGAGTTTAATTGAATTATATGTTTAACTCTCTTTTAGGCATTCTCATAGGATCGTTAAACAATTTTATTGGAGGATTTTGAAGAGATAATGGTTGTGAGGAGGGTACTAGGCTACTAGCTATTGAACTACAAATTACAAATAAAGGTGAGTATATGGTATACCCCTTTGAGTTTTCGTATACAGTCTCTCAATCCTAATATTTATGTTAAGATTTCATTACCATAACATCAACACTTTTACCCTGTCATTTTGAATTAATGGGTCAAGTTTAGGTTAGATTTCGGATGGTGAAAAAAAAAAAAAAGAAGAAGAAGAAGAAGAACATTATCTCACAAGTAGTGTAAGAATTTAATTTCATTACAAAATACTCCGTATAATAAAAGGGTCAAATCAGATTGAGTTCGGGTTGCTTGGATCGGGTCAATTAGTATTTTATGTCATCAGGTCGGATCATGATGAATTGACAGCTCTATTTGGACAGGCTTTGTATGTAAAAAATGGCATGAAATGATGGGCCCCTTGATCCAATGGATCCATGAAAAGGTAAAAAGGGAATCCGATGCGCAATTATACAAATCAGTGAAAAGCCCAATGGAGCTGCTAGGTGGCCCAATTAGTACAAAAGTGTTAGGTACTATTTGAGACATGCCCAGCTTTCACCTACACTGACAAAGACTTTTTATGTATGTTTGGTACAAAATCCACCTATAAACCTACATTTTATTTTACTTCACTCATTTTTCTGATCAAATTTCTTATTCTGACATCATTTCTGTTTCAAATTATAGACAATAGTTTTTAAGTTTGGAATTTATTCGTTATTTCATCAATATGATGATCATGTTCTCAAATAGAGAAACAATATACAATTGGATTCAAAATCAATAAAAAGACACTCCTACTCTCATGACAATAAATCATATAATATTCGAAATAATGAACCCAAATCATTAACAAGTCCAAAATATTCTATAGTACACTCAATAAGCTAATTTGTGTTTTTAATTGCCTATTAATTCGGACATTCATATCTCATCTACAAATATTTGTGACGACTCCCCAGCATAGGTACACAACACACTACGGAGTATTTGTTTGTTACATATTCCGAATACAGAAAATTATATCTACAAAAGCAGCATGCAAATCACTTCTATCCTTGCTCATCTACTAATTAATTATATGATAATTAATATCTTCCAAAATTATATAATGTATTAACATTAAAAATTATTAGTATAATGTAAAAATTAATTATATAATACGGTAAGTTGATTGCATCTTTATTGTCCCATGAACACTTAAATTTCTAACCTCGTTTTTGAGGTAATCCCTTCGTTCAGTTGGTTGATGAGAGCTATGACTAGTGACCTAAATGATTTGCACACATGATCAGATTTTCCAAGACTAATACATTTATATATAGTCTTGTACTTGGTTAATGATTACTTGCTACCACCTATGACAAACGAAATTGCACCTTTACTTGTGAATGTCTCATACTCTTATGGGATTTAACTTTTAATCAATGTTAACATTGCTGTTTTTTGGAGTACAATTCTTTTATTCTTCGTATGTCACATTTTTACCGTTTGAAAAATTAAAAGGTAATTCCAATAATGACACATTGTTAATTGATACAAGTATAAAATGTTCTCCATATACAGTCAATGATTAATTTCTATATTGTCCATATAGCTAACTATCTAGAATTACTATTATTGTACTTACTTTTTGTGTCTCTCCGTTGTTTATTAAATACAGGTTTGACTGCTTGAGCAGCACTCATCACCATAAAAGGGACCAAGTATTTTGTATCATCGTATGACATTAGAATATACCCAATGGATGACCCAAAATATTTGGTCATGAATTATTTTATAATTTCTTTCTCTATCCACTCATTCATAACCAAGTGACATGACCAAAGACTCCCAATGGTTGCCCAAAATAACTTTGGTCATCCAACAATATTACCGTTAGTGCCTTTCATTTGTCGCTAGTACATGCAAGTTTACTTATTTCTTCTTCCAATAATACACTACCACTTGTCATTTACACCTTCATGACCAAAATTTCAGCTTGGTCATCTTCAAGACCAGTCCATTAATCTCTTTCATCCAATTTTTTCTTTGTTTCATTTTTTTAATATAAAAACTCCTCTCTCCCTCCTCATGACCAATGACCTGGTCATCCAATGGCCACACTCTTACATGTGTTGTTTAAGAAAATTACACTTCAACACTTTTTCCTTGCTCGCTAATTGGTCTGCCCTATTTGATTGGCTAGTCGCAACTTATTGAAGTTCTTAGAGAATCAAGAACTTCAGAACAAAAAATATGAAGAAGAAATTAGAGAGAAAAGAGGAAGAAATTGATATTATTCAATCTGATATTTTTGTGTACATTTTTAATTGAATACAAGAGTACTAAATGCAGTGTATTTATACACTGATTTTTCAGCAAATAAGCTAATTATTACAGCTCATAACAACCAACTAAGAATCAGTTACAAAACCAATCAGTTACAAAACAGAATCAAATTCTGTTACAAGAAATAACAGAATTTGTTATTATTCCTGCTGACATGTCATTGCACACGGAATGATGACTTGGCAGGGATGCTTAATCATCTGAGTCAGCTGTATGAAACAGGGAGGCTACCAATGCTGTGATTAGCTCTTCATGGCTGGCATTAGCAGCATATCCTTCAATACCCCCCTTCAAGCTAGTGGATGGTTGAAGGTCAAACATTCCTAGCTTGGTTAACAACTCAGTGTGCTGTGTTGCAGACAATATCTTAGTGAAGATATCAGCCAGCTCCTCCTTAGTAGGCACATAAACCAGCTCAATAAGCCCTTCGAAAACTTTTTCCCTTGTAAAATGGCATCCAGTTCAATATGCTTAGTTCTCTCATGATGAACTGGATTCTTGCCAATGTGTATAGCTGATTGATTATCACGTTTTAAGATCACAGGACCTGAAATAGGCACACCCAACTCCTGTAACAGTCTCACCAACCAAGTGATCTCTGAAGCAGCTGCAGCCATTGCTCTATATTCTGCTTCTGAGGAAGATTTAGAAATTGTTCCCTACTTTTTAGACTTCCAAGAAATAGGACTCTGACCCAGAAGCATAACAAAGCTTGTAACTGATCTTCTAGTGTCTGGACAAGTTGCCCAATCTGAATCAGAATATCCCTGTAAAATAAGGTTGCTAGCAGATTGAATCATTATGCCTTGTCCTGCAGTATAGGCCACATACCTGAGCAAATGATGTAAAGCCTTGAAATGAGCCATCCTTGGATTATGTAAATATTGACTGAGAGTCTGTACAGCATAGCACAAATCTGGTCTAGTATGAGTCAAAAAATTGAGCTTCCCAACTAGACACCTATACAAAGCAGGATCATGAAAGGGAGGTGAATCATCAGCTCTGAGCTTCAAAGAAACAGGAAGAGGAGTCTTAGCTACCTTTGAAACATCCAACTCACATTCTGTCAATAGTTTTTTAGTAAATTTCTTTTGAGTGAGAATCACACCAGTAGTAACTCTTGAAACTTCAATGCCAAGGAAGTAATTCATTTCACCCAAATCTTTTATGCTGAACTTATTATGAAGATTATCCTTTAGAGACTGCACCACAGCATGATCAGGACAAGTAACAAGTATATCATCAACATATACAGCAACAATTGTCTTTTTGTCAAGAGTATCCTTCAAAAATAAAGAATAATCATTCTTAGATTGTATATATCCTATAGAAAGAAGTTCAGCTGTAAGCTTAGAAAACCATTGCCTGCTTGCCTGTTATAATCCATATAGGGATTTCCTGAGTTTACAGACCTTGTTACCTGGATTTGCAACACCCTCGGGTACTTTCATATATACTTCTTCAGTCAAATCACCATGAAGAAAGGCATTATTGATGTCAAGCTGATGAATAACCCAATTGTTGTTCAATGCTATAGAGATCAGACACCTTACAGTACGAAGCTTTACAACAGGTGAAAAAGTTTCTTCATAATCTATACCATATTTTTGTGTAAATCCTTTAGCCACAAGTCTTGCCTTAAACCTCTCTATGGAACCATCCTTTTTTAATTTCACCTTAAAAACCCACTTACAGCCAATTGCCTTTTTCCCTTTTGGAAGATCAGTAAGCACCCAAGTGTGATTAGCTGTCAATGCATCTACCTCCTTTTGCATTGCATCAACCCATCTTTGATCCTGTGAGGCTTCCAAATAACTAACTGGCTCAACTTCTTTAACTATCTCAGTTACCAAGGCTCTGTGTGAACCAGGCAGTTTATCAAAGTGTACAACATTACACCAATGTTGTCTAGGGCCAGGAACAGGACAAATGTAATCTTTCATCCATGATGGAGTAACATGAGGCCTGGTTGATTGTCTAAATGGTTCAATGATTGGAAAAAACTGTGTAATATCAGGAATTATTGGTTCAGGTTCAGTGTTTGAGGGTTCATGCTCAGTGTTTAAGGTTACAGGTTCAGTGTTTGAGGTTTCAATATCAGAAATATGAAAAGGTGAAGGTGGTTGATTATATAATTCTGGTTCTGTGAATATGAAAGCATCTGGGTAATCAAATGAATTGTTTAGGTCAAAAGTTGTATCTGAAGGTAGATAAATGGGTTCAAGATTGTGTTTAGTTGTAGACAAATGAAATGGTAGGTGTTTTTCATGAAAAGTGACATCTTTAGAAACAACAATTTTTGAAGTTTCTAAGTTGAACAGTTTGTATGCTTTCTGATTTTGAGGGTATCCAATCAGAACACATGGAACAGCTTTTGGATCAAATTTAGATCTATTAACCTTGAGGGTTGAAACATATCCAAGACACCCAAAAACTCTCAAATGACTCAAATCAACCTTAGCTCCATTCAACTTCTCATAAGGTATTTCAAAATCAATAGAACTCAAAGGCATTCTATTTATCAAATATGTGGCTGTTAACAAACACTCTCCCCAAAATCTTTTAGGCAATCTAGATTATATTGAAAATAAAGAGCCCTAGCAGTCTCAAGCAAAAGTCTGTGTTTTCTCTCCACTATTCCATTTTGCTGAGGTGTGTCAGCACAACTCTTCTGATGTTTAAGACCATTAGAATGATAAACACTCAAAATTTTCCCTTCACACAATTCTTTTGTATTATCTGTCCTCACACACTTCACTTTCAGATTGTACTGTGTGGAAACAAAAATCAAGAAATTGGACAAAATCTCAACTGAATCAGTCTTATTTTTCATCAAAAAAGTCCATGTATTTCTTGAAAAGTCATCTATAATGGTAAAAAAGTAACTACAACCATCATGTGTCTTTACTCTATAAGGGCCCCATACATCAACATGTATCAACTCAAAACAAACACTAGTTTTAGAAGTTCTAGTAGAGAAAGATTTTCTACTTTGTTTTGCCTTAGGACAGACTTGACAAAACACATCACAATTCTTCCCTATCTTGGGCAAAGCCTTATTTACAACATGTAACTTGTCAAAGGGTAAATGTCCTAATCTCAAATGCCACAGCTTAGCATCCTCACTTATTGTCACAAATGCTTCATGTTCTGTCTCCCCAACTGACTGCTTTTCATCTACATCAATCTTGTCTGAGACTGAATACAGGCCTGAATCAAGTCTACCAAGAACCACTGAACTTTTCTGAGAATGATCCTGGATCATACACTTATCATGTGTAAAAACTATATCACAACACAGATCTTTACACAATTTATGAGTAGAAATCAGATTAAACTGAAATCCTGGAACATGTAGAACATTTTTTAATAATATTCCATTCCCAATTCTAACATCTCCTATATGTTTTATTTCAACTTTCTTCCCATCAGCAATTGTGATTGTTCTGACATTTTTATCAAAAACAGAATAATTTTCAAACCAGTCTAGATTATTGCATATATGATATGTTGCTCCACTATCAATAATCCATCTAGTATTAGAACAAGTGATCAGACATGTATCTGCCATGTTTGTAGCATGTTCAGCCTGTTCTTGCTCAGAATTCTTGCAGTATTCAATAAACTGCTGATACTGTTCTGCTGAAATGTGTGTAACAGCATCATCATCATTTTCATCTTCCCCTTGAACAATACCAGCAAATCTCTTGCCCTTTCCTTTGTTTGCAAAACCTGGTGGGTAACCATGAATCTTCCAGCATCTATCTACTGTATGACCCCCCATCTTACAGTGTTCACAGTATAGGTTATTCTTCTTGTGAAAAACTATTCTGTTGTTTCCTGGTCCTAGCAATACTTTCTGCTTGAAATTCTTGTTGTAAGCAGAATTCCCAGCATAAAACCTAGCATTTCTATCATCTGCAACAGCAAAAGCCATAGCCCTTTCTTCTGATTGGAAGGTCATTTGTTGTTGTTTCTCATCTTGAATCACTAATCTGTAAGCCATAGAAATGCTTGGCAATGGATTCATCATCAGTATATTAGTTCTCACTGAACTATACTTATTGTTCAACTTCATTAACAACTGAACAAGCCTTTCTTCTTGCTGAATCTTTAAAAATTTCTGAGTAAGATTACAAGTACAGCCATTACAGCTACAAGTTGGAACAGGACTAGCACTACTCAGTTCATCCCATATAACCTTCAGCTTAGTAAAGAAATCTGCAATACTACTATCACCTTGATTTATTTAACCCAAACTTTGCTGTAAACCATAAAATTGAGGTCCTGAAGTAACTAAATATCGATCTTCAAGATGCTTCCATATCTCTCTTGCAGTTGACAAAAACAACACACTCTTTGCTAGACCAGAATCCAAAGATCTGAGCAAATATGGCATTACCATGCTGTTGCATCGATCCCAAGCTTTGTACTCAGGACTATTAACATCAAGAGGTTTAGGCAAAGAACCATCAATGAAACAAACTTTATTTTTTATTGCTAAAGCCAGAATAATACCTCTCTTCCATTCTGAATATCCTTCAGTACCATTGAACCTATCTGAAACCAAAGGATTTGCTGGGTTTTCAGAAGGGTGTATGAAATATACACTTGTAGGATCTTGCATCAAAGAAATAGGCTGCTGATTATGTGCTGCCATTGTTAAATTGTCGAATCAAACAGTAGAATCAAACTAAACAATCAATCGATTCAACCCCTTTTGAGTTGAACCCAGAAAAATTCACAAACTCTTCTTGAGTTGTATCAAAACAGAAATCAATAACAATGATTGAAAAATTATTGCGGAAATCAAATCAAATGGCCAATCGTAGTGGCTCTTATACCATATTGAAGTTGTTAGAGAATAAAGAACTTCAGAACAAAAAATATGAAGAAGAAATTAGAGAGAAAAGAGGAAGAAATTGATATTATTCAATCTGATATTTTTGTGTACATTTTTAATTGAATACAAGAGTACTAAATGCAGTGTATTTATACACTGATTTTTCAGCAAATAAGCTAATTATTACAGCTCATAACAACCAACTAAGAATCAGTTACAAAACAGAATTTGTTATTATTCCTGGTGACGTGTCATTGCACACGGAATGATGACTTGGCAGGGATGCTTAATCATCTGAGTCAGCTGTATGAAACAGGGAGGCTACCAATGCTGTGATTAGCTCTTCATGGCTGGCATTAGCAGCATATCCTTCAATACAACTTGATTTGGCCTCTATTGATGGTTTGGTGTGGGTATTGCGAACTATTACCAAAATTGGTAAATAAAGTACTTATATATTTCAAGTAAAGAGGTTATGTGGCCAACTGATTTACTTAAGATTAGTAGCTTGAGGCAATTTAGCTGTTCGATTGAATTGAAATCTTTAGACTGTTTTTAATGAGCGAATTTCATTACAACCCACTGATTTGAAAAAGGCTGAAAGTGTTAATTGAAGCTCAACTTTTTGGTACAATTACACACTATGTCATTCGTACTCTTGAAAATTCCATGAATATAAAACACCAAATTATTAAGTGCTGTAATTTCAGCAAGAAAAAAAAGAGTGGCCCAAGTTTACAAGTATGGCAAACTATAAAACCACCTTTGACAATTTATTTACTGGATCTTCAGTTGTACTGTTGGTACATTTTTAATTATCTTTATTTCATCTTTCTGAAAAGAAAATTCACAAACATAATAATTTCAATACAGAACACAATAATAACATTATTAATAATTGTACTACCAATTTCTACTTACACAACATTTGTAAATCCTACAAATTACTCCAATTTAAACAGAGACAATATTTACTACATTATTTAGAATACAAAATTACCCAATAAAACCTAAATTAATTTCTACCTCCAAGAAAAAACAAAAAAACCTACTATCTACATCCAACAAATTTACTCTGTTGTTTTACAGGAGAACAAGTGAAAATCAGCTCTAAATCAGGTGGTTGAAAGTATCCACCTTTTGGTGGAACAACCGACTGATTTGCGTAAACTCTCTTCTTTCTTGGAGGTGGGGGACATACCAATGCTGCTGGAATTTTGCCGTGCCTGGGTGTCCGGCAATCCGACTCGAACTCGACTCGAATATTTTCTTTTCCTTCCATGAATGAAAACCGATGAATTTCCAACT